CTTTACTTGACCTTTTTTTTTTTTTTTTTAATAAATGCCATCCAAGTTCACCTACACGTCAGGGACAGAGACAATGCAATTGTTCACATATATGTTGTTTTATATTTTAAGTGAAAGAATAAAAATGGAAGATAAAAATCTGAGTGAATGGCAAAAAAGTAAGTTTCATCATTTAAAAGTGTGATCACTGTTGTAGGCATGATGCAAACAAAATGACAAATCAGTAAGCCAAAGTTAGCAAAACAAAAAGAAAAAAAAGAGACGTTTCAGAATATTGTTTTAATCACACATACATGCAGTTCATCCAGAAAAAGTGTCATCAGTAATTTCATCCCCTCTCACTCTTTTCCTTCAACCAGAATCTTCCAAAAACACCTTGTACAGTTGGAATGATCCAGCGCCTTTGTCCATTGGTGGAACTCTCTGTCAACAAGTCATGGAGTTTCTATTACACAGTAATAAAAAAAAATAGTTATTATTTTAAGTTTAATTAAATGTGTGGCATTCCCCATGAACGTCAATTAATTATCCTTCATGCACTGAAAAGGGAAGAATTTAGGGCTAATAACACAACCGCGCTCTTAATGGCCCTTATGACAACGCTTATAGGTACAAAACACCCAGAAAGCAACACAGTTGAAAATGATACAGAAGGTTGTCCTGTCCTGTAATTCACAATTCATAAGCATTTCTTTAACAATATCAGGAGTGTTAAGTGTAAACAGAAATATTTAAGGCTATCTTGAGTAATAACGTCCCAGATTAGGAATTATGTCTTGCTCCACAAAAAGGAGAATTCTAGCGTGAATTCAAACTAAACAACAAATGTCTGCAATGTCCTCAAGGAGATGCAAATTCGTAGTGTATGAAACATAAGCCCGCCCACATCATTCTGCTAAACTGATTGGCTGATCAGTAACAGTGGCAGAGCAAGAAAGCAATGACGTCACCTGAGGACTTCTACAGATGTCAGCTGACCACTTAGACATACAAGTCCAAATACAAAGTGAGGTATTAGCGAGGATACATGCAGAAAAAGTAAGAATAATACACACAGCTATCTTAAATACAGATGTTTATGACTGCTAAAATAAGAACTTGGATATGCAAGATGTGATCTGTGAAAAGCAGGACAGGACAACATTCAGTTGTTTGGCTAAAAAAACAACATCAACAACAAAATCTAACCATTAGCCTTTGCAGCCGCAAGTTTAAATCGAAATGCTTCCAGCATTAGCCTGCTGTGTAAGGCCTGGTTACTCATGTCTACAATCTTTTCCACCTTTATTAGTTACCACAGAAAGTAAAACCAATCTGGTTTCTGATCTGAATCTGTTCAGAGTACTTTCACACAGGAATATCTGAGCAGAGAGCAGCTGAAGACTGATTAGAGCTGATTGCACTGGCTTCTGTGTCAATTGTTCACTTTGCTTACATTTATTTCTTGATTTACTTTTTATATCATGTTTGGTGCATGTGTGAGAGTGCAATATTCATAAAATAATTTGCTTTGGAGGGAAAAAAAAGATGGGGAGTGGAACTGTACAGCCATGAATATTTCGATTCGGACGTCCTCCCATGTGCAACAGCAGGAGGGATTATGTTAATGGAATGGCAGATCTCCATGACGACTTCTTGCATTCTTGCAGCTTCCGTAGTGAGGAAAAAAACTCATCTTCAGCTAAACGAGACAAGAAGAATTGGCAGTGAGAATGCTGGATCCAATAAAGTTGTGCTTAACAAACCCAAGGATTTTATACTCCCATGAGGGGAGCCCATGATTATTATTATTAGACACTGAAGTAAATTAACAAAATGTTCCAAAAACTAAGCTGTTACACTAGAAGTGGGTACTCAATTGTGCCATTATGGCTGGGCGATATAGCTAAAAAATGTATCAATGATATAATGTTTCATATCATTCGGTATTGATAATTGTTGACATTTTTATAACCTTTTTAAAACAGAGCAATATGATTTTTTTTTTTTACATTTAACCACTGTATTTTTAAATTAACTCAATTTATTGAGACAAACAACAATTTTTTTGTTGTTTTAACAGTCAAACACAAAATAAAAATGAAACAAATATTTCATTTCTAATGTTTTATATGCAGATTAAATAGGTTAAACTTTTGGTTTGTCTCCCGAGGCCACAGGAGGGCGCAATGAGCAAAATAATGCAGCA